TCCAAAACCATTAGAACTAAATCTTGCTTTATATTTTTCTGTCTCTTTTAAACTTAATTGTTGTTCTCTTTGATTCCAAATTCTTCAACTATCTTTGTTCTCTATATATGGCTTTCTCTCATTCTTATTTTTGCAGTAGCATTTTTCCTCTCATCCACAGCCTATTTTTGTCCATCATTCCATCAAGTATTTTTTGTTTTGTTTCTTTTCACATAAGGATAACTGTTCTGCTATTCTGTAAAATATACATCCTAGATCCGTGATGGTGAACCTATGGCACATGTGCCACAGGTGGCACACAGAGCCATACCAGTGGGCACGCGAGCTCAGCTCCGGCGTGCATGTGCGCACTGGCCAGCTGATTTTCGGGCCTTCTGGGCCCACTGGAAGTAGGGAAACAGGTTGTTTCCTGCCTCTGGAGGGCCTGTGTGTGTGTGTGTGTGGGGAAGGCCCGTTTTCCTTTTTCCTAAGTTTCATATACTTTTCTTCCTCATGTCAATAAATCTATGTTCTTTATCATACTTAAAAACAGGTTTCCCTTCATTTGTTAAAAGGCCATGCTATGCTAGGAAGTTGTTTATGCAGCTGTCCCCTTACACGGAAATACTAATGCTAGCTGCGGAATTCTGGGAATTGAAGTTCACCCATCTTAAATGTCTATGGAGATTCTCAGTCATCAGTCAAGCTATGCACTTTGGGATGAACAACCTTCAAATGGTACAGGAGTATGAACAGATTTCCAGAAAAAATTGTAGATTACAGGAACCATTTGCACTTCAGTTTGAGATGCAGATAACACAGACTCATCCCCAATAGCCTGTGCCTGTGTTCAACAGTGAAGGGACACAGGGCAGAAAATATCCTGCAGAAAGCACAACTCCACAACACAGTCCTTTCAGCAGTTCCAAGAAGACTCCACACCAGTTTGCACTACTCAGGTGACCCTGAGGACACAGACAAGCTGCCAAGTGACCTCAATGACTCTGTAAAAAAAATGCAAATGACCAGCTGTCTGCAAAAAATATAAATAAATCTTTCCATTCCCCACCATCTAGTTAGAGCTGAAGAAGTTTCTTGGATAAGATGCAAAACATCTTCAAAGAAAGACACCAATCTTAAACTTGCCAAGGTTGAGAAACTCGACACATAAAAGGATATGCTAGCTAGATACTTAATTAACCATTGACTTTAAGTCTGATTAAAGGAATTAATGACTTCTTTTGAGACATACAGTCAGAGTACTAGATCACATCAGCATATAGTGGCAATATATTTCAGAGATATCATGACTTCTCCTGGTAGTCTTATATAAATAACAGGGGCAAAATGGAGTGTTGTGTGATAACATAATCTAGGTATCAAACAGTAATCAACACTAAACGTGGCGTGTCCAAAAGCTTGAAACCTACTGCTAAAAGTGTTCACAAGGACCAATCTTTCAAAGTGACCCTGAGAGAAATTATGGACGTTAATAAAAGGTCAAAGGAAACTAATAGAAAAATCCCAACACTCCTCAGCTTCCTAGTACCAAGGCAGCAGAAGTTGTCATGCTCACATATCTTGGCTAAAAACCCAAGTCAAGTGGGTCTAGAAAACAGCACCCTCCAGATATTGTTTTTTATCATAGCCAAAAATGGTGCATTTGAGTCCAATCAATCACTTCCCCAAGGAAAATTTTTTCATAACCGCCTCCTTGAAACAAACGAGAACTCAGTGTACTGTTAAAAGTTATAGTGTGGTTTCCCTCAGTGTTCTAGCTGAAGCCACATTATTTAACTCTGTTGAAATGAAAGGCAGACCGTACGCCTCTGAATGAGGGCATGGATGCAAATTTGACTTTTCCATGTTTAATAAATAAGAACTCAGACTGTGAGTATTTAAAGGGCATGCTGAATATTAATGAACTTCTTAATTATGTCAAGCATTGAACATGAAATATGTTAGGAATAGCAACACCTCCCTCCATCAATTCTAATGATTGTATTAGAATGCAATTTCAAATTAAGAAATTCTCTTTTTTCTAATTCTGCATTAAAGATGTATATTATTTTACCTTCTCTTTTTCACTCCTTGCAAATGAAATGTTTTATTCCCTTATTAATGTATACTGAGCCAGACCTCTCTATTCTTTTCTCATAACATTTTTATTACCATAGCACAGCATTTCTCACTGTAGTTAATGGAGGAAAACAAATCATTAATATTTATGAAATCATAGAATTGAAAGAGGCTATTTAACTAAACAGTCCAATTCTTTGCTCAAAGGAGAAATTTAAATGAAAATCATGTCCAACAGATGGCTGTCCAACCACCATTTCAGTTTAGTGAATGGGAGCTCATCATTTCCCTAGGAAATTGATATTAAACATCAAGCTGCTCTTACGACTATGTTTTTTCTCTTTTCTAGAATCTGACTTCTTATAATTTAAAGCATTATGTTAAGTTTTGTGTTCAGAGACAATAAAGAAGTTGCAGCTCTTACAAATATTGAGAATGCTAAAAGATCTTCAGATCTGTCAATTTTCTCCATTTCTTCTTTGTTTCTAGTCTTCTGATATTTGTTGCCTTCTTCAAAACTGTTTCAATTTGTGTAGATTCTTCTTACATAGTGGCATAGTGGCACTAGAAGTTTGGATCTGACCAATCCAGAAATACTACTTTCTGTGCTTTAAAAGTTAGACATCTGTGGTTGCCGTTTAAAATTGCATTTGCTTTTTTCGTAGTCATATACAACTGGTGTTTGTAATTAACTTCTGTTCTAAGATCATTTTCTCAGCACTGTTGCCAAGCCAGATATCCTTCCATTCTAAACCTCTGAATCCAATTTGTTTCCTAGAGCACATACACTTTTCATTTATCTCTTTTAGATTAATTCTGTTATTTTCAGCCCATTTCCTTAATCTATCAAACTCATTTTTCATTTATTTCTGCCTTCTAGATTATTAGCATTCCTGTCCAGTTGTGTGCCATTTGCAAAACCGTAAAGCAGTCTTTCCATTTTCTTCTTGAAATCATTCATAACAATGCTAAAGAGTCAAGCTCTATGAGTGACCTCCCTCCCTTCAGTCTGATGAGCAGAATTGAGAATTCTTTGTGTTTCTCAAGCATGTTTTGCCATGTCACCCATCCCATTGGTTAGGGGTGACATTTAGTTATCAAAATGAATTTGCTGAAATAAAAATATATCTGCAGTACTCCCATGGTCAAATAAATTAATCAAAAGGTGAAATCAGTTTATCTTGGCTAGATTTGTGCTTGATCAATCTATGTTCACTTCTTGTAATAAACACACTGTTTTCAAGGTGACCTAGAACCTTTGCTGTTGAGAGGATTTGCTTCTGCACAGAAATACAAGAATACAAGTATTTAAGTGAGGGTGAGGAGGGCTGTATCCAGTGGTGAAATCCATTTTTTTTACTACAGGTTCTGTGGGCGTGGCTTGGTGGGCATGGTGTGACTTGGTAGGCGTGGCTTAGTGGACGTGGCTGGGGAAGGATACTGCAAAATCTCCATTCTCACCCCACTCTGGGGCCAGCCAGAGATGGTATTCGCTGGTTCTCTGAACTGCTCAAAATTTCCGCTACCAGTTCTCCAGAACCTGTCAGAACCTGCTGGATTTCACCCCTGGTTGTATCTAACTAACTTATTGCTGGTTAATTACCAGCAAATTTTTCAAGTTGCTATACAAAATATAACAACATTAGATGGTAGGATTACAATCAGAAAGAAGAACAAAGACATGAAAATCAATATGGTCAAAAAGCCTTGTAAAAACTAAGATGAGAGATCTTCCAATGTCTCTATAAAAAGATTGAGGTAATAGAACATGTTTGGTATACTCAAGTTCCCAGATTCACACAACAAAGAGTCCTCCTGTATTTTCATCAGTACCTAGGACACAAGTCACAATTGAGGGCTACAGAAACTCTACTACTTTCCCCAGGAAATGCCTGGTATCCCATGAATCCTTGTACCAGAAGTGCATAAGCAAGGCCTAATTATATCATCAATATCTCTATTAAACAAGCAGACAGGCAGCAGGGATATGGAAGGGAAAAGGAGAAAAAAATGTTGGGGGTGGGGTGGAGAATAGGAACATTATTAACATTCCAAGTGCCAATTCACAAAAACTTACAATTACATCTCCCGTTTTCTACTTTCTCTGTTTACTCCAGCAATTCTCTTTTTCCTTCACACACTACCTTCTTCACCAGGATTCTGCTCAGAATGTCTTGTCACCTATCCTAATATGACCATCAAAATTAGGGCTGTCATATGTAGGACACAGACTCTAGACTGGTCGGTAGGAGGTAGCAAAAAGATACAGAATTCTTCAGTGGATTCTCAGCATTAAATGGTCACTTGGAACTTTGAAAGCAGATATGCCTTCTTGGACAACAGGACCATGGCCTGACTGACAATAAACATTGCTTTACCTTATTAACCTCGACTTACGAGAAGAATGTAACTGAACTGAACTTGGATTATATTTCCAACTGTGAATTTATGCATGCTAAATTGATGAGTCTAAAATGAATGCAGCTTGTGGGGGCAAGGTTACGAATGGCATAAACCTTGTCCCCAGGCACTGCTATCAAGACACAATGTTATCAGGCTCCAACAGCGGAACATGTCTGACATCTTATTTGCACCCAAGGGACCTCATTTTCAGAATGGCTGCTGCAGGGCATGATTGCTTGGGAGGAGGCAAAGACATGCCAGAGGAGAGGAGGGAATGGTTGGTGTACAACAACCAGTGAGAGAATAGGAAGCAAGCATGACATTTAGCTTCAATTCATGTTTAAAATGGTTGTTAATATTTTACTTCAAAAAACATCAGCAGAAAATAGGATAAATATTCTCAATAAAATAATTGCACTTTTAAATAATCTTTGAGATTTTGTAAAATGAATACAATTTACCAATGCAACCACATGGCAAATATGTTTAAAAAACTGTTTTATTCATTGGATGATACTGATGAGCTCCATAAATTTTGAAATCCAGAGGTATTCAAGGTATTAGAGGAAGTACCCAAATGGTGGGTGGGACCAGACAAAGTCCCAAATATTGCATGCAAAAGGTGGGTGGAACTTCAATTACAAATAGTTTTTGAGTTATGACCCCTCTCTGGCAGTTCAAGAGCTAATATTATCCAGAATGGGACAACTTGACATGGCCAATTCACCTCTGCCAACTCACCACTACCAGGTTGCCGCAGGACAACTCCATGCGGCCAATTTGCTGTGGGGAGAACTCACCATGGGTGGCTGGAGGGAGAGCTGAGCAGGCAGGCGAGTGAGTGGGTGGGCAGAGTGCAGTCTGGCAGCAATAGCTGGAGGTTCCTATTTTCACACATACCGCTACTGCTGCTGCTGCTACCACTGCCATTGAGCTTGTGGCTGAAGAGACTGGGATAGTGGTGGTGGTGGGTGGGGCAGTGGGTGAGGAGGTGGTGGCAGCCAGGAGCATCCCATATTCACACACATCACTGCCACCACCATCCCCAGCCTCTTTGGCTTGGAGCTCGGTGGTGGTGGGTATGAGAATGGGACACCCTGGCTGCCACCACCTCCCCACCATTCACCCCACCCACTGGCGCTGCCACCACCATCACCACCCTCTTAAGCCTGGAGTAGCAGTGGCAGCAGTGCAATGTGTGAAAATGAGATGCCCCCCTGCCACCACCTCCACTGTTACTGCCACTGCCACTGCCATCACCATCCTCTTCAGCCTAGAGTTTAGCATGATGGCAGTTGTAGTGATGACATGTGAAAATGGGATGCCCCAGCTGCTGTCACCTTCTGCTGCCCATCCCACTCACTGCCACTGCAATAATCAGCCCCAGCCTCTTTGTACCAGAGCTTGACATGGTGGGAGCGGCATCAATGAGATGTATGAAAATGGGATGCTGGCCACTGCCACCTCCCTGCTGCATGTCCCACTCACTGCCACTGCTGTCACCAGCTCAGAGCTTTAGCCCAGAGCTTGGAGCAGTGGCAACAGCGGCAACAGGTTATGTAAAAATGGGACACCCCCCCAGGTGCCACTGCCTCCTCGCTGCCCGCCCGCTCACCATCACCATTGCTGGCCTTTTTGGCCCAGAGCTTGGTGTGGCTGCATACAGTATGTGCACATATTCTGGAGAGAGAAAAAATCTATGATGATGGACTCCAGTACGAGCCTGAAAGCTTGAAAGAATAAACCTTTGGTCCAGATGACTGACTCAAATTGGATCCTGCAACTTTCATAAGTCTTTGATTTGACAAATGCTAAATCTTGGCCATCTGTGTTCAGTATATGTAGCGTTGTATTATTCGGATTGGATCCTGCAACATTATCCTAGGACATGTATATTTACCTTCATTCACTGTTGAAAGTACTTACTGTGGTGCTTTACAAACATGCAAAAGCTCAAATGCTGTTTATGTAATTCTATGCCCTTATGATTTAATGTAATGCATGACAATCAGGAAAATAAAAAATAGAAGAGAACATTACAAAATAAAACAAAGAAGGAAAACAGAATATTTACCAAAACATAACATAATATGAAGCAGATAATATGGAACTCTGGGTTGCCAAACTGGTAACTTCCATTAGGAAAATTGACTTTGTAAGAAAAAAAAAATACTTGGGAAAGTAATTGTTTCTCTAGTTCTGCTTTGATTTTTGCTTTCAGGTTCTCAAGGAAATGACAATCTCTGACAATGGAAGTATTCTCAGTGACAAGAAAGAATATTGAACATGGAGATACTAACATTTATTTTCTTCTCTTAAAATTTCATCTGAAGAAAACATCAGGTAACATTTATGTATGTATGTATGTATGTATTTATTTATTAAATTTATTTATAAAATTTATTTGTCAAGCTTGATACGCTTCTAAATATTTGAACATTTATCGCTATTCAACGGGGGGGAGGGAAGGGTGAGAAAAGAATGCAGACGATCCAAAAATAGAACGTGAGCCGAAAACCCACCATGGTTGCTACTGCAGATGTCTGACAAAGAAATGAACTGTTCTCAAAACAAAAGACTGATTCATAATTGAGCAGCGTGATCACTATGGGTGGGAAGAAGGGAAACTAATGTTTGACTATATAGCATTGTGCGGGAAAACCTCACAGCTGGGTTTTAATTCCTCAGTGCCAAAATATTGTATCCAATAAAGTTTTACTTTTGGGATTTTAAAATGCCTGAGAGTGACTATTTTTTGGGGGTTCACTAGTTGGACGGTTGACATTATTGGCTGCCATCTTACCATAGGGTAACTCAGGGTGAATTATAGTTACATAAAATCTAAAAGTTAAAAAGTTAAAAACAAACATTAAAACCAAAAACACATGGGAGAGGGTGGAGGGGAGAGGAGGTGGGATTTGTTATCACTCAATCAACTACCTCCATTGTGCTGTTCCTGCACTGGGGCCCTGGGCCAACTGACAGAACCACATCTTTAGGTCCTTACAAAAGGATAAGATGGTTGGGGCCAAGCTCTCATCGGGAGCCAAGAAGTTCCAGAGGGCAGGAGCAATAGTAGAGAAGGCCCTCCTCCTGGACCCAACCAGCCAGAATACTCGGACTGATGGGACCTACAGCAAGCCTCCTCTGCCGGCATGAATGGTACAGGCCAATCCCAGTGGGATGAGACTCCCTCAAGTAACCTGGACCCATGCCATGAAGGGCTGTAAAAGTGATCACCAACACCTTAAATTGTACTGGAAGCAGACTGGTAACTACTGCAGCTCGTGGAGCAGTGGTGTCACAGGGCCCCCCTAAAATACCCACACCACTGCACTCTACACCAGCTGTAGTTTCCAATTGGTCTTCAAAAGCAGCCCCATGTAGAGCACATTCAAGTAGTCCACTCATGAGATGACTAGGGATTGGTCCAGGAAAGACCACAACAGCCACACAATATGAAGTGCAAAGGCTCTCCTAGCCATAACTTCCACCTGTTTCTCGAACAGGAGTCACGAGTCCAGGAGAACTCCCAAGTTGCAGACTGGGTCTTTCTGTGGCAGTGCCACCCCATTCAGAGTCAAAGAGGACAAAGTCCCAGATCCCTGTGTACCCAAAGCCATTTGGTTTTACCAGGGTTCAGTTGAAGCCTGTTGTCCCCAATCCAGGCCCCAACAACTTCAAGACATTGTGAAAGTCCCAGCATCACTTGACTTCCATTCCAAGAATGGAAATATAGAGTTGGGTGTCATCAGCATACAGTATATACCTTAACCCATGGTGACGGATGATCTCACCCAGCTGTTTCATATAGATGTTGAAAAGGAGTGGAGGAAGTACCGAGCCCTGCGGTACACCACAGAATAGTGTCCGAGGACTGGACCTCTCATTCCCATCAATACTGATTGGGACCTGCCACAGAGAAAGGAGTTGAATCAGTGCAGAACTGCACCACCCATCCCATCCCCTGCAGCTGGCCCAAAAGGATACCATGGTCAATGTTGAGAGGTCAAGAGCGAGGATGGTTGCACTACTTCCATCCCACTCTCACCAGAGATCATTGATAAGCGCAGCCAATGCCGTCTCCATCCCATAACCAGGCCTGAATCCTGACTGAAAGGGGTCCAGATAATCCATTTCATCCAGGACCCTCTACAGCTGCCAGACCATCACCTTTTCTACAACCTTCCCTAAGAATGGGAGATTGGAAACTGGATGAAAATTGTCCAGGCAGGTGGGATCCAGTGATGTTTTTTTCTCAGGAGGGGGTGAACCAGGGCTTACTTAAAAGCATCCAGAAATATCTCCTCCTCTAATGATATATTAATCACTGTCTGGACCCACCTGCTAGTCGTCATTCTGGAGGCTTTCCCCATCCAGGAGGGACAAGGATCTAACTGACAGGTGGTGGCACTGACAGCATCAAGGGCCCTGTCCACTTCATCAGGGCCAGGGGTTCACATTATTATTCACATTATATATTCACTGACTGTAACTTTTCCTCTAGGGAATGTGTTTGTTGCAGGGGATCTTAATGCCAGAATACTATTAAAGAACACATATTAAAAGTCATAGTTCCAATTCTATAAGAACTTAAAAGAGCACTATATCCATTTTAGGAGATAAAAATACTATTTTTTATATTTGTACAGTATGGTCCAATTCAGTTGCAGTTAAAAATGGATTGTCAAATGCGAAAATATGCACTGTGCAAACATACACATTTGAAAGAACTCAGTCTTCAATGTAAATATTGACCCAGAAAGCAGAATTTGATTAACAGAGTGTCTCCAAATGAACATTCTTGTTAAATGTTTTGGAGGATAGAATCAAAATGATAATGAATCCAAACAACATTTTATAATTAAGTTGATATCTGGTTCAGTAACTTAACTTTCCTATTACTGTGTTTCCCCTAAAATAAGACAGGGTCTTATTTTCTTTTGAACCCCCCCCCAAAATAAGGACGGCCTTATTATCGGGGGGTCTTATTATTTTGGGGGTGCAGGAGGCAGCGAGCGTGGGACTGGATGTCTCATCATTGCCGTTGCCTCCCCTCCCTGTTTTTCACGCTGGCCAAGCAGCCCAACATGCCCCACCTCACCCCAATGGCAACAGCTGCCTCCCTTCCCTGCCATCTCTTTATCGAGAGGAGTGGCAGGTGGGGTGGGGGAGAAGCGAGATGTGTGGAGTGAGATGTGGCTCCCCTTGCTGTCTCTTCTCCCCCCCTCGCCAGGCATGGCAGGGCTCCTGCCCCTCGCTTAGCCACCTGCCCCCTTTAGGGATGCAATTTGGGGGTGGCAGGTAGGGCGGGTGGGAAGCAGGACGCACATCTTACCTTTCCAGCTCTGTCGTGTTCCTCGCTATTGTGTCCAGGGAACAGGCTGTAAAAGAAAACCTTCTTGTGAGTTCAATCAAACTTCTCGAACTCACGAGAAGGTTTTCTTTTACAGCCTGTTTCCCTGGACACAACAGCGAGGAAAGCGACAAAGCTTGAAAGGTAAGACCTGCGTCCTGCTTCTCACCTGCCTCACCTGCCACCCCCAAATTGCATCCCCAAAGGAGGCCGGTGGCTAAGCAAAGGGCAGGAGTCCTGCCATGTCCAGTGAGGGGAAAAAAAAAGAGACAGCAAGGGGGCCACATCTCGCTCCACACATCTTGCTTCTCCCCTGCCCCACCTGCCACCCCTCTCGATAAAGAGATGGCGGGAAAGGGAAGCAGCCAGGCTACTGTTGCTATTGGGGTGGAGTAGGATGTGTTGGGCCGCTCAGCCGGCATGAAGAACAGGGAGGGGAGGGCATGTCTCTCCTTCCCCCCCCCCGGCCTCGCCTCAACTCATTTTGGCTGCGTGGCAAGCAACCAGAGGAAATGGCGGGACCGGCTGTGCATGCGTGTAAGTAGTTGGTGGGGGGAGGGCTTATTTTGCAGGGGTGGCTTATATTATTGCATGCGCTGAAAAGCCTGATTGGGCTTATTATCCAGATATGTCTTATTTTTGGGGAAACACAGTATTTTGTCTAGAAATGTTCCTTCTAATATTATTAATAAAATATAGTTTTAGACAGAAGAACAGAAGTCTAGTTCCCAATTCTCAGGAAATAACTATATTTCATTCTGCATTGGTTAGATCCCAATTATCTTTTGCTATTATAGAATGGCAAGTTTTTATTCATAAAGATCCCACTGAAAGCCTTTGAGGAAGAATTATAGATCTAGATATATAATCTAGATATATTACTGTGAAATTTCAGGAACCTTGTTAATGCTTTTTCCTGTATATCATAAATGAGTTGGATTATAACTTTCTCCAGAATGTAAAATCTACCAACTGGCTAGCCATGGAGATAGAAAAATAATCCAAGTTCTAATTGTCACCCTGTGAGCACTCCAGATATATCCAGATATTTTAAATGATTATTAATTTCTATTTTTTGCAAAAATCGCTCATCATTACCAGCTGATTATATTTAGAGAACAAAGATTCATACCATTTCAATATCAGAAGACATGTTTTCTGGATGACATTAAAAGCTTAAGTAACTATGTAATGAAGAATAATGGAGACACCTAGACACCCTGTCCTAGCTGGCATTAAGTTTAAATTAAGATTATGAAACAACCCAAAATAAATCTTTAGGCCATACTGAGTAACCATCAAAACAGATTCATTAAATTTTTAAAATTAATTCTACAGACAATATTGAAAACAATAAAGCAATATTTAAAGTATAAGATGCAATCAGATAAAAATAACCACTATTGGCTAACTCTATCTGGATTTCACTTTATTCTGACCTCTAGAACAGTCCTTCAATATCAGAAAAAAGAAAAAAAACATTTAACCTTGTTCTCATATTCCACTGCCTTTTTCTGAAAGGAGAGAAAACAGCTGATCACCAACTGTTTTGACATGAGACTGAGGGCTACCCTCCCAACTACTATAAGCATAGATAATTATGGAAAATAGATAAATAAATTCTATTAATTGAGAAGAAATTTACTTCACACAGATAAAGGAAGCTAAAAGTGTTCAGTATTAAGGTGCAGTGTTCCATCTCTCCATCTATACTGTGTCTACCTGAAAACTGAAAATCAATTTATTTCATTACATCTTCTCTTTGCACATTTGAATTATAAAAATGTTGAGTGCTAAAATATCCCTGCAACTTCTTAATAGAGTTGCTACCTGGATTAAGAGAGCAAATTTGGAATAATTTGGAATAAACCAAGTCCGTTTCCATTAAGCCATTCTTTATATCAAAAATATTTTAATAAAGTGGATAGATTCCTGGGATGTGATAGTTTAGCTGGCAATGATAAAATTATGGCTTAAGAACTGTATA